AGTGAGGAAATATCTGCTGTTGCCTCGGCTGCCCTGTTGCGTGTTGGCGGACTTCACATGTCCTCGAAATATATTTTTTTTTAATTTCTCCGACATGCAGGTTTTCTAACGATGTTTTTCTTCACCGATGAGCACGTGATAAATCAGCAGTTCAGCGTCGATGAGTTTGGGCTCCACGGACTTTCGTGCAAGAAAAGTGCAAGTAGGTTTTCCCGTCACGGTTCTTTGAACGAAATCATCCGAAGGGCTCTTGTCTATAAATATCCCCTCGGTTTTAGAGCCTTGCTGGATATTTAGAGACGATGGCAAGAGACCCGACGGTATGACTTTGGTCCCATGGGAGAGAGGTAAAGCTCTAGTGTGGGATGCTACTTGTGTTGACACTTTGGCGGCCTTTTATCTCAAGCGTACCTCTTTTAGAGCCGGGCGGCATCAGAGGCAGCCGAATTTAGTAAATGGCGCAAATATGAGTCTTTGAGAAATGACTACATATTTGTGCCATTTGCTGTAGAGACTATCGGTCCGTGGGGTCCACGTGCAATGAAATTTCTAAAGGAACTGTATCCACGACTGGTCGTCGCTGCTGGTGATAAGAGGGCTGGTTCTTTCCTCGCTCAAAGGCTAAGTATAGCTATTCAGCGGGGAAACGCAGCCAGCGTTCTTGGCACTATACCACGGGGAGCAGGTCTTTTTGACGATTTAAATTTTTAGTTTTAGATTTTCTATATTATAGTTTCTTCTTTTATATTGTATATAATTAGTTTTAATCGTAAATATTATAATTTTAATTATTATTTTAGTTAAGTTCTTTATTATAATTTTTGTAAGTTAAATTAAAAATTATACATAATAAAAAAAAACTGAAATTGACATTTTCATTGGTGCCAGCGGGCTTCGAACTTGGGTTGCTCACCTACTATGATTTTTATGGCGAGCTTTTGATGGCTTAAATTTGTTTTTGTAAAATATTAAAAAGAAAGGAAATTATATGTGATTGTGCTTTGAATCGATTGAATCGATTCAAAGATACACACATCTTTTAACGTATAAAATGATATATTTACTAAAGACGCAGCATTCCCTCCTTTTTTCAATAATCCTTAGGATTTTACTAGTAAATATCCCCCACACAGTCGCAGCACCATCTAGGCAGACTTTTTTTGGATAATAGTACAGGAGCCAGGTACAAATACATGTCAGCGCCAGTGTTAATATATCGTTGTTGCATTGAGAAAATTTTATAATATTGAACACTCAGGACATTAAATGACTTGTGTGGTCTACATAAATTTGTGTCTAGGGGTGTGAAAGGTCCCCCCCGAACGGGTTCCCGCCTTGTCGTGGCGGGGGCTTAGAAGCCGTGGCTTGGTCACCCACGGCGAAACAAAGAGGAACCCATATGGCTGGTCCGAGGTGGAGGACCGGCCCGAGGGTGGCCACTCCGAGTGGGCTTGGGAAGCCTACTTCGGATGTGTGTTGGTGGACTGCGGTGAGAGATGTGTCCTCCCCACCTACCACTGCAGCCGAGGTGGAGTCGCGGAGGAAGAGGAGTGTTGGTATGGCGATGCGCCACTCGCCCTATCCTCCGCGACTCAAACGGGGCCGCACCGTTGATGCGGTGGTGATGGGGCTGCGGGGGGAGAGGATTGTCGGTATTGCGAGGCGCCGCTCTCCCTATCCTCCGCAGCCGAATCTTGGTTGGCGGCGGAGCCATAGACCAGATCCGCCGCTGGGGTCGGGAAGGCTAGTACTTCTAAATGCTCGTTTTTCCTGGCCCCATGGCCTTCGCGCATCGGACGCGGGGGCGTCTGTTGCGCAGATGTAATTGGAGGCCGTGGAGGAAGGCGTGCCATGTGTTCTGGTGCGCCTTACTTGGAAAGGAGAACGTGGAGGAATATTCCTCTCCCGATGAGGTGCTGCCATGGGGCGGCAGTCGCTGGTGGGGCCGCGGATGTGTGCGAAAGCGTTCCCGTAGCCCTGCCAATATGCGACGAAGGTGGAACACCATGGTGTTTTAGTCGGTGCGAGTCCGACATAACCCGTCCTTGCCCCCCGCGAGGCGGGTATGCGTAGGCATTTCCCCATGTTAAAATAAAAAAAGGGCTGTGAAAGGTGTCTTTTTTATAGAATATAGGATGACATACGAGCTCACAGTACACCTGATGGTAAGTGAATGCTGTCGCCCACAGATATTTTTTATAGGATAGGGCGTCAAACGAGCACAGAGTCTACCTGATAGTAAGTGGTTGATGTGGCCCATAGACATCTACATCTATTCTCGATAATGAATCAAAATTCAGATGCGTTGTCACCCGTGAGAATCATTGGTGCTATAACTAATTTAGCTGCAGCGTAGCTTTATCACGTATTATTTATTTATTATTAGCTTTATTTTATCCCTTACATGTATGTATTTCTTATCTATTATTATGTATGCTTATTTATTTATTTGTTAGTAATGTTAGTTTTGTTTTTAAATAAGGTTAGTATTGTTAGGTGTAAGGGCCGCCTTTTGCGGTGAAAGCCTCCTCCAAACCATTCCAGGTGGCTCTATCATTTGCCCGTCTGGACCATAAGTTTCCGGCTATTTCTACGATGTCGTCACTCCATCTTTTACCAATTTGTGATTATTTGTGACCATCTTTGATCCGTAGCTCTCTGAATATGACCAGACCATTTCCATTTTAATGTCAGGACCTGTTTGACTGCATCTTTCGCCTTTGTTCTTTTCCTTATCAGTGAACTTTTGACTCTATCTTTCAATTTGATGTTCATGTAACTCCACTCTAGTCCTCTTTGACAGGTTCTTATTTTATTTAAGAGTGATTTTTTGAGGGACCATGTCTGGCATGCGTAGGTAAGAATCGGCGTTAGGCAGATGTTCATCGCTTTTGTTTTCAGTTTTGTGGGTATGGGGCGTTTGAAAATTTCCTTCATAGCCCAGTATTTACTCCACGTTTTCTTTACTCTTCGATCGATTTCTTTTTCTGTACAGGATTTTATTGAGATTAGATGTCCGAGGTAAGTATAATCTGTGACATATTCTATAGTTTGAGACTGTATGGATATAGGTATTTCTTCACGATTAGTCATTATTTTCGTTTTGTCCCAGTTAATCTGTAACCCAACGGTCTCACTGTGATGGCTAAGGGACTCTATCATGTCGTTAAGTTTGCGCGGGTCTTCCGACAGCAGTACTATGTCATCCGCAAACCTGAGGTGTGAGAGATACTTGCCATTGATTTTTATTCCCACATCACTCCAATCGAGGTTTCGTAATATGGATTCTAAGACTGCGATGAAAAGCTTTGGGGAGAGCGTATCGCCTTGCTTTACCCCCCTATCGACTTGAAATGATGGTCCTCTTGAGTCTAGACGAACTCTTGTTGTGCTTCTCAAGTAAATAGCTTTAATAAGTTCTATATAGTCGTGGTCCAGTCCTTGCTGATTTAAAGCCTGCCATATAGAGTCATGTGAAATTGAATCGAAGGCTTTCGAGTAGTCTATAAAAGCAACGTATAAGGGGAGGTCATATTCCATAAACCGTTCGATTATTACTTTCAGTGTGTGTATGTGGTCATTGGTAGAGAAATTTTTCATGAATCCCGCTTGCTCTACAGGCTGGTTCTCGTCAATCTTCGTTGTTACACGTCTTAGTAGGGTCGATGCAAATACTTTATACAGACAGGATATAAGACTGATGGGTCTGTAATTAGATATCAGTTTGGGGTCTCCCATTTTATACAGTAGAACTATCTCCGAGCACGTCCATGTTTCCGGTAGTTCTTTTGTTTTTAAAATACAGTTGAAAAGCTTAGTGAGTGGTTTTATTAGTTTCTCTTTCGCGGCTTTTATCATCTCGTTTGTCACTCCGTCTGGTCCTGGGCTCTTTCCTGCTTTTAGTTTTATTATAGATAGCCCTATCTCTCTTTCTAAAAAAGTTGGTACTGTTTCTTGAACTGGTTTATAATTTTTAGGCATTGGTGTCTCATGATTTTTATTTACACACGTGTAGAGGTTCTTATAAAACTGTGTAGCTATCGTCATTAGGTCTTTCCTATGAGTGACGATGATTCCCGAGGCATTCTGGAGTTGTGTCATGAGATGCTTGGTACTTTCTAACTTTTTATAAGCCTTTTTTATTCCACCTGTCTCTTCTATGAACTTGCTGATTGTATCGAGTCTCCTCTTTTTAATGTTTTGTTTTATTTTTTTTATGTATTGTTCTATATAGTTTACTCAGACTTTTCTTTTCTTGCCTAGTTTTGTTTTTCTTGTTTTTTAACATGTGTTTTTGGTTTTTCAGAGTTTCTATTTCTTCTGTCATAATTTCTTTACTTCTTTTCTCAGTTGTATCTTCAGTTCGTTTTTTGTAGCCTTTTAGTAAAAATGTCTCAATTTTCTTGTTAAATTGGTGCACGCTATCGTTTTCGCAGTCAGACAAGGATGGCAGGTCTTCATTTGTAGTTTCATTGTCTGTATATGCTTTGTCTCGGTAGTGAGCTCGGAATTTTTTATTTTCCACCATATTTAAAGTAATTCTAATCATTCTGTGGTCACTAGGGTGGTGCAATTTGCTCATTACATTAACGTTCGGATATCGCTATAAAATCATGTACTTCTGTATTGTTTTGTTTCTTTACCAGGAATCCAACACCGTTCTCTCCCTTTGTTTCCCCATAGTAATAAAGAAGATATCTTCCTCTGTCTTCTATTTTATAACCCAGTCTTCTCGCTTCAGCTATACCGATAATGTCCCAATTAATTTGCGATATCGCGTATTCCAATTCAGCTATTCTTGCTTCATTTGCTAATGATCTGAGATTGAATGTAGATATATAATATTTTTTTAAGTTTGGAGGGTGGTCGTCTACAACCCCCGCGGTGACGAGTCGTTCTGGGGGAGGATTTGTAGGTTTTGTGTTTGTCTTTGAAATATAACGTTTGTTTTTTGTTTTAGAGGGTGCGGTGTTTTCATTTTTCTGGAGTTTTCTTGATTGCTATTCATCAGAATCATTTGAAGAGTAAGGAGTTTCCCCTTCCTCGGGTTTTTTAGTTGAAATAACATTTTGTTTAGTGAAGAAATTTTTCATAGAGCTCTGATTTTTTCCCATTTTATACGTTTGAGTTTTATTCTTTTTTATTGCTTGTTGTTGTGCGGTGTTCTTGTTTGAATCTATTAACTGGTGGGGAGGGGTTATTTCTAACTCTCTATTTTTCTTAGTTTTTTCTGTTTCGGTTTTGATTGTCTTTTCTTCTTCTGTTTCTCTGCTGTCTTTCATGGATGGTTCTCGAACTATAAGTTTATCGTATCGCAGGAAGGCTATTTTTCCGGCTTCCTTCTCTTTTTTTAACTGTTCTTGTAACTCTTTACGCGTTTCTAGGATTTGAGGTGGGAAATCTTCTTTTATATAAATATTTTTCGTTTGTATATATTTCTTGTTTTTCAAAATTTTAATCTTCCTGCCGTACGTTGTAAATGTTACGACGATAGGTCTCACTTTGCTTTTTAAGTATTTTCCCATTCTCCGGACCGTCTCTAATTCTTTTCTGTCACATTCCAGCTTAAGTTCGTCTTTAATAGTTTGTAACACGGTTCCATCCAACTCCTGATATGATTTTTCACCTTCTTGTACCCCAAAGAATATGACATTCCTTTGCCTAATGTGTTTTTCTATGGCACTAATTCTTTTGTCATGTTTGGAGTTAGTTTCCTTAATTTGTTCAAGTTCCCTTTGTAAGAAGTTAAAATTTTGGTCTATTTTGTCATTTATTTTGCTCGTGATACTGGTCTCTAAATTCAGCAGTGATTCTTCAGTGTCTCTTTTAATATCTAATCTTAGTTCTTTTAAAAATTTTTCTATTTCCGACATAGTGGCTCCCTCTGTTAACTTTAGGCCGTATTGTATACTTAAGCTCTGTGATGCCCTCAGTGAGTAAGGTGCTGTACTATGTGAACTTTTGGACGTTTTTGTTGTAAGTATGCTTTGGAAGTAGTTTCCCTGAGCGGAGACAGATGTCGCTCTTCTTTGCTACTTCTTGTTGTTTAGGTCATCCATTAGATGTCGTTGTGCACCGAGTTTCTAATGGATTTTCGTGCTATGGTCTAGGGATGACTTTGACAATTTGACTTTGTAGGTTAGGTTTGCAATTTTTCCGTGTAATTTTAAACGGAAAACTATTTCTTTATTTTTAATGCACAAAGATGATCAAATTTTTAATGTTCACATGATTTTTAAAGCACATCGGCTAGTTTTTTCTTTAAAATGTCATTGTCATTCACATCACTTCATCTCACTTTGTTTTGCAATTTTGTCCTTTATTTTTGGAATTATTCACTTGATAACACTTGTAGTCAGGGTGTCCACTATTCTGCACTGTTTTAACATAAGTTTTTCTAATTTTTGTCGTGATTACACTTTTAAAACTTTAAAATCGACGAGCCTTTAAACAAACAATCCTAGTCCTATCACGTATACGTACGTCTAAGTAACCAAAAGCGACTTGTTACAAAATCATTGGTAGGGTGTCCCCTCCAAGCAGGTAAGGTAGCCTGAAGTGCTGACTTTAGGCGGAAAGACTAATGCTTGGCTCAAAATGGATTCCGAACATAGATTAAAAAATAAAAGGTAAGTTTTATTTTATGGTAAGACTCTATTACTAGGCTGCACTAAAAGTATCGGGAATGGAATATTTCCACTGTTCCTGTCATAATAAAATCTTTAATTGAAAACTCCTTGGTTTTAAAAAAAATCAAATACCATTTATTTATTTAAAAAAAAGATTCTCGGTCTTGTCACAAGGTTTTGTCAAACTTGTTTAGTCGTTGAGAAAATGGAATTGACTCGAGAAAATTCAAGAGCGATGATTTATTATGACTTTCGTAGTGCTTTAACACAAAAACAGTGTGTTGACCGGATGATTTCCGATCGTAGCAGTCTATCGCGTAACACCTTATTCTTTTCGTCTGTCTAATTTAAATAAAATAATGGGTTTGTAGTGAGTGCTTAAGTCTCATTTACCGTGTCAACAGTTCTTTATTAAGTGTACTAAAGCCAGTGAAATTTTGTTAATGTTAAAGTATTCTGCAATTAAAACTATATCAAATAATTACAAATTAATATCGAGTTTTGTGAAGTGTTCGGACGGAACGCGTAAGCGCCGCTATATCACCGGCGCTTGGGCCGTTTTGCTCGCGACCTTATTAACACAGCAACAGTGATACAGGCGTAGTTTTATGTTTCTGTTTCTACCGCGCATAAATCTTACATTTGAGACTACATAGCTGGATATTGTTGTTTACACTACAATGGATTGCTTTAAGTGTAAAAAAAATGTTGCTGAAAGGGATGTTATTAAATGTACGGGATGTAATATGTACATGCATTATCAATGTGCTGATTTATCTGAAACTGAATTCAAAAAAAATCCTCCCTATGAATAAAATCAAATGGAAATGCCCACCCTGTAAAAATAAGAGGCTCGCTGGTACGTTAGGAGGGACAGTGTCACCTAAGTTTAAAGATTGCGCTACTACGTCTATTTTAAACGTCGACACCGACGCCTTGACGGAATATATGGATGCGAAACTTGACAGTCTGCGCCAGCAGTGGCAGGAGGACTTAAACTCAGCCATCCAAAAAGATATTAATAGGCTTTTGCGCAAGATATTAATAGGCTGGGAAAACGTGTTGATTCATGGGAGGAGCGCATAAAGGAACTCGAGCAAAACTTTACGGCATCGCATAGTCCTGACGTCACCCTGATGCAGGAAAACAACGAGCTTCGCGCAGATTTGGAGAATTTACGTGCCAAGTTTGATGACCTCGACCAAGCCTCTCGCAGTTGCAACGTGGAATTACAAAACATTCCTGATAAAAAGGCTGAAAACCTGATTCATTTATCTATAGAGGTTGGTAAGCTAATTGGCGTCGATATCAAGGCAAGCGATATTAGATCTGTTCATCGCGTGGCTCCAAAGGTACCGAACGACCGTCCAAAAAACATTGTACTTCAGCTGACCACACGACGACTGCGTGATGATATGATAGCGGCGGCGCGTTTGCGCCGCCGCTATCATATCATCACGCAGTCGTCGTCACACTCATCACTACTCAGTTGTTTGGCTCTGCCAACAGTGCCGCTGCTGCTGCTCAAAACACACGATTCTATATAAACGAACATCTGACACTAAAAAATAAAATTTTATTTAGTAACGCTCGACAACTGGCGAAGTCGAAGGGATATAAATTTGTGTGGGTCAAAAACAGTTGCATTTTGCTACGGAAAAATGACGATTCACGTGTCATTCACATCCGTTGTACCAATGATTTAAGTAAAATATGACTATTTTATTACGTTTACTTGTTTATTAATTTTCCAAAAGTAGCATATTTAAGTAGTTTTATTATAAGTTTTTGTGTATGTTGTTTACAATACTCAATACAGCGGGAGATCGAGATCCATAATTTTATAGCAAACAAATTTATAAATACACTTAATTATATCGGTTGCATTTCTTTCTCGTGATGGCTTCTAATAAGTTACTTATATTCTATCAAAATTGTGGAGGCTTAAAAACTAAGCTTACAGACTTAAAACTAAATTTACTAACTTGTAACTTCGATATTGTAATTTTAACTGAAACCTGGCTGTTGGATACAATTTTGGATGCTGAAATTCAAACTGATGCTTATATAATATTTCGACGCGATCGGAACTGTATGTTATTTAATAAAAAGGGCGGTGGCGGGGTGCTAATTCTTGTTAAGAAATCGATCCATGTTGTTAGAAAACTTGACTTAGAGGCCACCGATTTAGAAATTATTTTTCTTCATTTCCCACACTCAAATTTATTATTGAGTGCATGTTATATACCACCAGCGTCTAAAACTACTACCTATGATAAATACTTTTATACACTTCACGACATTCACTCGAAGGCATTATTCTCACATTACATTATTACTGGTGACTTTAATTTACCCTACCTGGAATGGTCATCTGATGGTCCATCCTTGAGACCTGTTAATGCAGTTACTGATACAGCTAAATTATTGTCTCATATTATGGCCTTTATGAATTTGAAACAAATAAATACATTAAAAAACGAAAACAGTAGAATTCTTGATCTTGTTTTATGCAACTCACCTGATTGTTCAGTTAATATCTCTGATGATCCACTCTTAAAAGCCGTTCCTCACCATCCTCCGCTGGACATTTTTTATGAAACAACTCAATCCAAGTATATGCCCACCAACCAGAAAACAAAACGAAACTTTTACAGAGCAAACTATGACCAAATTAATACTGCTATATCAGAGACTGATTGGGTTTCTGAACTCAGTTCTTCTTGTATAGACACTGTAGTTGACAAATTTTATAACAAAATTATGCATGTTATTGAATCTTATGTACCACTTATCAAAATTAAAACCAATAGATTCCCTAAGTGGTTCTCTAATAGCTTAATTTATACACTTAGGCGTAAATCTAAAATGTGGGCACGATGGAAAACGTACAATTCGTTACGTGACTATCAAGAGTTCTCCCTATTAAGAAAACGTGCTAAACGTCTCTTAATTAAATGTTACAATAAATATATAGAGAACGTTGAGTCTTCCATAAAGGATAATATAAAATACTTTTGGAAATATACTTCAGATATAAAGGAAACAAATACGGGATATCCTCAAGTAATGAAGCTGGGAACCAAAACCTCAGACGACCCAAAAATAATATCTGAAATGTTTTCACATCATTTTAAATCCGTATTTGAACCGTTGTCAGACAATGCATATACATTAACTCAACACTTAGAGGATAATTTTACTGGAATAAACTTACATGACATACGTTTCACACAGTTGGAAGTTTGCACTGCTTTAAAAAACATTGATCCAAACAAAGGCGCTGGACCTGACAAAATAAAGCCAGTGTTTTTAAAACACACTTCTAATACAATTTGCATGCCGCTCAATATAATTTTTAACAAATGTTTGGAAACTGGAACATTTCCAACTCAATGGAAACAAGCATACATTACACCTATCCACAAATCAGGTTCTAAGAACAACGTAGAAAATTACCGTCCCATATCAATTCTTTCGGCTATTCCTAAAATTTTTGAGAAACTTATTCACGATCATATATATTCAATTTTGAAAAATACATTATTAGAGGAACAACACGGCTTTGTTAATGGCAGGTCTACACTGACAAATCTTCTTGTTTTTACTAACTTTATTTTTAATAGTTTAGACTATAAATCACAGATTGAAACTGTATACACCGATTTCGAAAAAGCATTCGACAAAGTTGATCACTTGCTACTTTTAAAAAAAATCTCCTACAATGGTATCAAAGGTAATCTTCTACGTTGGTTTGCTTCTTATTTACAAAACCGCATACAGTCGGTAGTGCTTAATGGCTACATTTCCTTACCCGTTGTAGTAACATCTGGCGTACCACAGGGATCAATACTGGGACCACTCCTCTTTATCCTATTTATTAATGACATTTCAACTTGCTTTGACCATTGTAAATTCTTATTATACGCTGATGACTTAAAATTATACTCTGCCGTTACTAAACCTGACGACATAAAATTAATACAAAATGATTTGGATAGACTTGAAAACTATTGTAAAATTAATAAATTATTATTGGCTTATAATAAATGCAAACACATAACATATACTAGGAACAAAAATGTAGTACACGCGGACTTTTACTTAGGTGGTCACAAAATTGTATCAGAATTTAGTATACGTGATCTTGGAGTATATTTAGATACCAAACTCACACTAGATAGGCACATCGAGGAAATATTGAATAAATCTTACCGAATGCTAGGCTTCGTTACACGTATAACAAAATCATTTAAACACAAAGATACTCTTACCTGCCTTTATCAGTCATTAGTTAGATCTCATCTAGAATATGTGTCCCCCGTTTGGAATCCATTCTACTCAGTTTATGAAGATAAAATAGAAAAGGTCCAAAAGAAATTCTTACGTATTGTTAACTATCGAATGCATTCACCTCGCGTTTCCTATGAAAATCTCTTAACAAAATATCAAATGCTGTCATTAAAAGACCGACGCACTTTAATCGACGCCACTACTTTTAGGAATATCTGTGTTGGTGAGATTAAGTGTTCACAGTTATTATCCGAGGTAAGGTTTCGAATACCACCCAAAAACACACGATCAAAAAATTTATTTCATATACCAAAAACCAGGACCAACATTGGTAAAAGAGCACCAGTACACAGAATGTGTGTCCTCCACAATAAAATGCTTAACGACATCGATATTTTCTCTATCTCCCGTTTAGCTTTTAAAACTAAATTAAAAAGTACTTTAGTAGCAATCATGAATTAGATATATAAGGATATTTAGTATTTATTATTGTACATGTTAGATGATTGTTTTCAGATGATTGTTTTCTTTTTATTTAAGTACAGACTTGTTACCCTGCTTGTTGTGCAGACGATACCAATTACGACCTGCTTCATAATATAAATATTATGTATGTTCTTAGTGAGACAGCTTATAGGAAACAATTGTAATTACCATTGTCTTATTTTACTTGTATATTTTTCTTTCATATCTTTTGTTTCTGTTTTGTCTCCAATAAAGTAAATAAATAAATAAATAAATAAATTTGGTGATAAAGCTCCATCCAAAACCACAATTTATCGCTGGTTTGATGTATTTCAAAGTGGACGTGTCAAGCTCAGTGATGATCCCCGTCAAGGTCGTCCAAAAACTGCAGTCACCCAAGAAAACGTTGATGCTGTGCGTAAGCTGATTGAGGAAAATCGACATGTGATATACCGCGAAATTCAAGCAACTTTAGACATTGGCATTAGTCAAATACAAATAATGTTGCGTGAACAATTAGGTGTAAAAAAAGTTGTTTTCCCGATGGATAACGCATTCGCTCTGTGAAGAGCAAAAAAGCGGCTCGCATTACTTGGTGCGTCAGAACTCTCGAAATATTCCACGCAGGATCCTCAAATAATGTATACAACATCGTATCAGGTGACGAATCTAATAATTTCTATGCTTACCCTAAAATAAAAAATAAACTGCTTGGACCGAGATTTTCATCACCTGAAGAAGCTGTGTAAGCCTACAAAACGGCCATTTTGGAGACCCCAACTTTCGAATGGAATGATTACTTGAATGATTGGTTCCATCGTATGGAAAAATGTGTCAAATTTCGCGGAGAATACTTTGAATCGCAATAAATACATTTTTAAATAGTAATGTTGTGTCACTTCCTTATTTCCCGAAATTTTCAGTACTACCAAGCACTATATAGCAACGAATATTATGTTTAAAGGATGTATAATATTATGTTATATAAAATATTATATTGCAAATTGTGTTTTTAATAAATAAGCCCCACTGGTTTTCTTGCTGGTTCTACCTAGGACAGAGGTGTTTTTTCCGAATCAGTAGTAAAAGTAAAAAATGACTCTCAATTAGTAATACATGTAATCTATATTGAATAAAAATGATTCTATTCAACTCTAAAATACAATCATTAGGTTACATATATGGAAATGATAGTTTTTATTTCTGACATAATTCAGCTCTTTATCTTATCTCTCTTATCTTATCACTAATGGCAAAAGTAAGAAGATGCAGCCGTATATTTTCCCAGCATTATGGGTTACGTATGGAGCTTACAGCGGATTGAGTCGTTATATGTCTATGATGTGTTCCTGTTGATTTTAGCCATAGTAAGCTTCCTATATATGTAAAACGTTACCACCAAACACTAGTACATTGTAGATTTCTCCTAAACCGTAGTGATAAGTTTAGTAAATAGTACCTGAGCAACCTAGCTTTGCTTGGTGTAATGAAATCTTAATTATCTTGGATTCTCACCCAACACAATATAC